GGGGTCGATAAGTGTATTTGTCCCTGTTTTAAAACAACTAAGAAAACCGATTTCTATTTAAAAAATTCAATTTTTTAAATAAAACATGATTCAATCGATTGCAATTTGTCGACAACATAAATACTTTTGATCATCAACTTTTTTTTTTAATCTATTATCGAATGCTTTTACACGATGCACACAACTTCTCATCTGCATTCAGCACTTTATTTCCAGACATCAAGCAGATTAATGTGTGATCAAAGCAATTAGTGAATGTAGATGGATTTTTGAAGTAAGGAATTTTCGATTTTTCTTTCTTGAAATGAGGATATCATCAAAGAGCGTAAGGGTGAAGTTGTCGTTGGTCTCGAGGAGCACTTGCACTTTATTGTTAAATAATAATGTGAAGTGAATGCTGAAAAAGCTTGATGATCAAAACTACTGTCACATTAATGTATCCTGTTATAATCAATATAAGTAACGAATAAACAATCGATGATTCACAGCATGGGACAGATTCGAGAAAAACATAAATTTTCAGATCTCTAGTACATACAGTGGCCAAGATCAGCTGGAGTCGAGACTTTTGTCTACTACTGTAATTTAACTGATTAGACAAACAATAGTTTATGAAATCTTTTCAATAGAAAATTCAGATAATCACATATCATTATTTTTGGGAAACGTGATGTAAAAGAAGTGTTGAAGTATAGGGGTAAAAATCTGGATCATCCACTCGCACAGCCCATGACAGATGTTGTTGATATATCATCACAGACCGCATATCCATAGCATCTTGTCATCATATATGAACTAGTTTCTTATTAAATTTCTAGACGATTATGTAAAAAGTAAAACGAAGAAATAGGTCTTTATATAGATAGAATAAAACAATCTCCCTATAATAACCACCAGCAGTTATATTATGTTTCAGATTTTAATTCTATAGCGATTGTACTAACAGCTTTTTCTTATTTTTAGACTCATTATGTTCAATCGCCGTTAGCTGAATATGTTGAATCAAATCTTCATTTTACGTATTATTTTCCATCAATATCAGCTAATGCTATATCAATATTTCATTGTTGTTTATCATTAATTTCAATAAAATTTTTTTCAAGTGGATCATTATTTCGACGTCGAATTGGTGTTTTAATTTTTGAATGTCGTTCTTTTCTTGATTGTCTTGATGGTGTTATTTTTCGTGCACATGCAAAAAATTCACATTATAAATCATATCATGGTGGCTTAGGTTTTTATGTTGATGCTCTAAGTGATGTATTAGGTGGAACATGTCTTATTATTGGATGTTTACTTTATTTTTATAAACAACGACCATTTCGATCAATAACACAACAAGTCAGTCGATCATTATCAACACGTTTAAGTCGATCGAGTGATACTGAAAATGAGGAAATAGATTTGATCATATTAAATATTGATGATGAACAAAAAATACCATCAATTAATGATATAAATACTAATTTACTAGAAACAAAAGGAAGAATATTTATTTATTTAGGTCTTTTTACTATACGATATTCATTAGCAGCAATATTTTGGGATAGAAATGTACAAGCATATGAAGATTTACTAGACTCATATAAAGATAAATCACAACAACAAGTTAGAAATTATTTAATTACATTTTTGAATATGTTTTTTTCTTGAAAATTTAGACATTACAATTAACAATTCTTCATTCACCATTAACTATACTAATATTTTATTTATGGAGATATTTATGCGCATTAAGTATTCAAGATTATCTTCTAATTGCTATTTTCTTTGATCGAACATGGGTTTGTTATTTAATTAAATATGTCTGTAGACACATATAATTGTATTTGTTTTTTTTTTAGGAATTTATACAAAAAACAAATATGCTTGGTTGGATCTCTTTATTAATAACAATATTTTTCACGGAATTACATGTTAATCAAATTCGATCATTATATTATATTTTATGAATTAAACAAATCAAAAATTATGAACTATCTCTGTAGTTTTTTCTTTTGAAAAGCTATAAATATATATATATATTTTTTTTTTGAATATTGTTTGATAAATCTGATGTAAATATATGATTTGTTTTTCTTGTATGTTCAACCTAAATACATATGTAGAGAGAGACATACAAATAAAAGAAAGAAAAACATTTTTTATAATTATAGATTCATAAAAAATGGAGAATAATGATTTGACTTATTGGAAAAATTATCAAGCAGCTACGCAATGGATTCAAGGAAATATGATTGATAATGCACCAACGTTGATGAGAAAAGAGGAAAGCAATACAATGATTGATGATGATGAAGATAAACAACTTGAATTTACTATTGATGATGATTTACTAGACTTTTATCGCCTTTCACGAGATCATAAAGCAAATCGAAGTTAGTAGAGATAATAATAATTTATGTTCGAAAATAAACCATTTAATTTCAAACATAATTCTTTTAAATTGTTGTCGTATGACAGTCCGTTATTGCTAAATATCCATTTCAAGTGAATCGTTAATAGTTAAAAATTAGTCAGCTTTTTATTCATAAAATTTAAAATATAGAAGTAAAAAAAGAGAGAAAATTTGATATTCAAACCTTTTTTACTGTAATGTCATAGAGGATATGACATAAAGTGTATTGTATATATATATCAAACAAAAGAGTGTTATATGATTTATAAATAGCATATAATTTATAGTTTCGTAGTACTGTTAAGAAAGTAAAATTTTACTAAGTTTAACTGTTCATATAAATTCTATTCTTTGACAATAAGAGTTAATCTTAATACAAACGATCATCTGAAACATAGTCTTCAGTATTGTATAGATTCTTTTCAATTAAAATAGAAGAAAGTAGTATGACAAAATTTCTCTTGTATTCTAGAAAATCAAAAGTCACAAGAAAACAATGAAGCTGAACAATTTGAATTAATACCTGGAGAACAAAGTAATTAGAACATCATAGAACTTCATATTTAACACTTACTTCTTCTTGAAAACTAATATATATATATATTGTTGTAGTGCGTCCTAATATTCAATTGATAAGTAAATTACCACCTGTTAATCGTTCAAAATTACGTCAATTAGAACTTGAATGGCTGTATGGTTCAACAAATTCATCAAAAATTCATACACGTGAAACACATATTCAAATGGAATTCGATCAAATATTTGACAAACGACAACCTTCTTATTTTCCAAGTTTACCTAATCGACTTCAATTAAATCCAGATTCATATAAACAACGTTCTTGTTTTCCAACTATTACTATCTTAGATACATCTTCTTAGAATTTCTATTTTTTTTCTTGTTTTCTGTATTAAAGCTTTTTCAACTATATTTTCATTTAATTTCCATAAACATTTTATTAATTCCATATCAACAACAGAATGTGCTGCTAAATCATAAATTTTTCGAGTTGATGAATCAGTAACACCTGGAATTATAGAACAATTTTCGCAATAAGTACCCGATTGATTTTCTAATTCAGCGACTCATGCAATCCAAACATTTGTTGATGCATCTTGTTCGGAACTGTTTTTGTACGTTCAACAGATTTTCGTGTTTCTTTATTAATACAACCAAGCTTTTCCCATTCTTCTTGACTCATTTCATTTAGTATATAAATAAAAAATGTGATAAATGATTAACACTTCAATTATATTTCAAAACCATTCTTAGTTAATCTATGTGCGCCAGGAAAAATACCAGCATTACAAATTAATATATGTAATGATAAATTTCTTCTTATATATATTCTTCAGCAAATGAACGAACTGATTCTAATGAATTAAGATGAAGTTTAATTAATTCAATTGTTTCATTTTTTGTTGATTGTCAAAGATCTTCAAGAGCTTTTTTTATCTTTAACCATATCACGTCTTGTAATTATCACATGTGTATGAATTGTAGCTGGTACACGTGTTGCCTCAAGTCCAATGCTTATTTATAAATGAGTTACTTTTTTTCTATCTAATTATTAACGAATTCAATTTACGTGTAGTTCCTCCGGTAATAAAATCTATTTTGTCTATAAGATCGATATTTAAAGCTTGAATAACTTCTAATGTAGTGGATTTTGTATGTAACATGATCTATGCTTAGTATTTATTAACCTAACTTTATCTCTTAAATTGTGTCTTCCTATACAAAGAAAAAAAAAAAGAATGACGTTTTATGTATCGTGTGCATCTTATATTTGCTTTCTTTTCAAGTATCACTTGATTGTATTCATCCGTTCGCTATAAACTGTAATCCATGATTATTTTAGAGGACTTCTTTCATAACTTCATGCTAATACCACTCAAGATGTTTAAGTTAAATTTTACATCAAGAGTACTCTCATTTAGAAAAGTTCGATATTCAGACTAAGCAGATTTATCAAAAAACTACATATTAAATTATAAAAATACTGTCCTAAAGAGATGTTAATGAATTATAAAATTTATTAGATTTAGAAGTGTGGAATTTTCTTGTTTTTAGTTATTTAAGAAGAATAAATCAGATTAATTAGTTCAATAAAAATCTTCTTTTAGTTAATCCTCAATAGTTTTTATTTGTTGTGATATGATAAAAAGAATCTGTCCTTCAATAGTTAGAAAAAAGACATACATTCACGGTCATTTGAAATATTTTCTATTAAACATACAATATGTAATCTTATGCATATAAGAAAACTGTAGTATCGATATAATAAAATATTTCGGTTTTATTGATACCGAATGCCGTTCTTGTTATTCTAATATGGTACTGTTTTTTTTACTTTGCAACGATAAATATTTATATTATTCTTTCAGAGGCAGTATTCTGCTTCCTAATGTATTTTCTTTATACTTATTGATATTAGTTTTCATCATAACATTATTCAAGAAAAAATTATGTACCAATGCATTTCGAGTTCTTTTGCATTATAAAACATTAACATGAAAACTGTTGAGACAGAAATATCTGCTGTTTTTTATTTTTTCTTCTCATGTTACTATCTTTAAAATGTGACTGTGTGACATCGCATTATCATATGATAAGACATGTGTTTTAGAAAGTTGATATTGCTGCATAATTGTTGATTCATTTTCTATATACCTGACCATTTCTCTAAAGACTAAAACAATGCTCTCACATTGCAGCTGAGATACAGGTAAAAACAAACATTCGTCTCTATGTCATTGTACAACATTTCAAAAGCAATTTGTCGTTTTTCATTGAAAATGTACCAATCAACAAATAAAAATTGTAATAGAATGATGTATGTGAGTGAATTATTTTGATAATCAAAATTTTTTGTTTGCTTTCAGTGTTATAACCGATTGAAGATTTATTTGCAGGGATGCTCTTGCTTCGTTTCCTTATTTATCTAAGAAACCATTCATAAAGATCTGAAGGAAATAATGTGTAATTTGAAGGAAATACTTACTATGTGTGCTAGAGGCGTTTGTTCTCAATCATACGATCTACAAATTGCAGTTTTTAGTTTTTCAGATTAATTTTGCAAATTAAACAACATGGAAAGAGATGATGGTGATGGTGATATTCAAACACGTAGTACAAGTCGTTCAAATAGTATTGACGAAGGTGAAACAAATTCAACTTCTCCAGTTACATCAATAAATCAAGCCGAGCTTTCATCTCCAGGTTCGTATGCATGTAAATTCAGTTAGGTAATCAACTGAAAACGATTATTTTTTTTTTCTGTAGAAGATGTTAATGAACAAGTTCAAACAATACCAGACACACAACTTACATTAACATCAAATTCTTCGTCGGATTTTGAGACAGATTTTGTTGCTATAAATAAAAGTGATCTTGATCCAGATGCCGTAAGTTTTCCTTTTATATTGCCGGTTGACTGCTTCAGTTGATTGCTTTCATGTAATGACATGTAACAAATGGAATACGATTATTAAGCATTATCATGGCTGCTTCATATGTAATTTCTGTCTTACTATTATTTTGAGAATCTTTAAAGAATTTAAATAAGACTATATATATATATATATATATATATTTTAATATTAAAAAAAGAAATCAAATTGATTTATTTATCTGTTGATTTTAATAATAACGTCAATGACCTTTCATGTCGAATAAATGTGAGAATCAATGAAAAAAAGAAATGTTAAAACCGATTATTTTGCTCATCACTAGTCAATGTCACATATAATGCATTTTTTTTTCTTATTTAATTATCATAGCAGTTTACTCTACACTCTATTATATATCTAATATATATATATATCCTGCCAAAGACTAATCAATCATCATTGCTATTGACCTTGATGACGATAGCTAATTAAGGCAAAAAAAGTGTCAATGACTGACAAAAAAAATTCTTTTCTTTTCGTATTAATAAATATCATAATATTTAACATATTCGTTGTGAAGGATAAATGATTGACGGATTTACAATGAAGAGGGATATTTGTTTCATTGATATCTATACACGTATCGATTACATTTGAGAATACGTCGTCTGTCATTTGGCCAACATTTACCCATCTGATTAGATTACCCTTCTAGCAAATGTATTAGTCAATGAGTGAGTAAGAGTATTTTCTATAGAAAAAAAAAATATCCATCAATATTTTTGTTATAAATAATCTTTCTTTCTGTCTTTCTTTGTTTTTTTTTCTTCTTTCATCTATTAATATTCTTTATGGATCTAATGGTAAATAGAAGATAGAGAGAATTGTTGTCTCCGTACTAATATGAATGAAAGGCAGTTTTGAGTCGCAGAATTGTGTATATAAAAAATACGTTAGAACAAGGCGAAGAGAATAAGAAAAAAAGCGTGTTTGACGGTTCTATAAGCTGCCGCTGTTGTTCTTTCTTCTTTCCCTTAGTTTGCTTGTTTATTGCTCGCCCGCATTTTTTCCGTGTTTCACACTCATCATCATCCTTTTTTTCGGCCCGACTTATTCAGCTATTGTCAATTCTGCAGTACGTTTTTTTTTTCTTTTTTTTTCTTTTCATTCTGTTCTTCTCGTTCTTTTCTTCTTTATCGCCATCCGTTTTCTTTGCTTCTTTTTCGCATCGAATGCAAGAAAAATGTTCATATGATCAATATGGCGTCTGATGTCGAGGATCTCACCACGTTTTATTCTGACTTACCCTCGATATTCGAGAACAATGCACCACGTTCCGTAGAATCATCATGCAATGCTGCTGTCACTGATGTTCATACAGACAAATCTTATCAACCAATATTTGGTTCATTCTTATTCTCTGATTCAGACCCGCTTAGCAGAGCAGCCTTCGTCGCTTCTTCATCTCCATCTAGTGAAGTAGAAACAACACAAGAACGACTCATGGACAGTTGTGCTGTGAGAGATGAAAATGACACCTCAAACAACAATCAATTAGCACCATCATTACCTACGCCTTTAGAATCTACTGAGAATATTGATGATGATAATGATGAAGATGATTTTGATGGTATACCAATTAGACATGCTTCTATTACGACGCAAAAAAAATTTAATGGTGATAGTGATTCAATGGTGAATCAATCGAATCATGATAATTTATTTGATGAATTTATTAATCATGTTGAAAATGCACATGATGATTATGATCTTGAAGATGATTCATTTTTAAATGGTTTTACTGATGAACAACATGATACAACAGCAGTAGTACCATCTTTATTTAAAGATATTCCGGATATTGATGATCCATATGAACATGAAGAAGACAATAACGACAGAGTCCCTTTTGATCATATGGATATGTATAATCAATCTGATTCAATACGTTCATCATCGCCTGATTCACTTTTATCTTCATCACATTTACAAGATGAACAAGACGATGACGTGAATTTTGATGATGAAGTCACACAATGGAATGATGATAATATTCTTCATTCTAATTCATCAAACATAAATTCTCAAACTAATCGAACGAATCTACCGTTAATTTTACAGATGCATCCATTCGATCAAGTGAATTTTATTGATTCATCACGTAGTAATTCAAGATGTTCAAATGTATCATCACATCTAAGTTTTGGTTATACTGATCAAGCTCGTGTATTTATAAGTGATGATGGACTTGTGACATCATCTGATAGTGATGCTAATGACAACAGTGATGATGACATGAATTTAGATAGTAATACCCTCAATCGTAATGATAATGAAGAACTATGTCTAAAAGTCAATGACGGTGATGATAATAATAATAATGAAGAATTATGTCTTCAAGTCAATCTCGATGATCATCGATCGGTATCTTCATATAGTAAAGGTAATAGTACACGTTCAGCCTCACCAGCATCTAATGAAACACCAATTGTTGATATTGATGAAGATAATGATGAAAATAATGATGAATCAAAAACTTTACAAATAGCTCCTATTGCTGCAATGGATGATGAAGATGAAGATGATATACAAACATGTCAATCTGAGCAACCAGTATTACCAACAATAACACCTAATATTAAAAATTTTCTTGAATTAAGAACTGAACAACGACAAAATGAAATTGTTCACGATATTATTAATATGAGACATTTATTAAATGAAAATAATCATGATGATGAATTTATTGCAATTATGCATAATCCAAGAATATTCGAAGATGTTTTATATGACCATGATAATAATAATAATAATAATGATGATGATGATGAAGAGGTAATCTCAAATAAATATTTATTTAACAATTTTCGAAATATTGAAATTCAATTTTTTCTTTTCTTTTGAGTTTGAATAAAATGTAACACATCTAAAAGCCAAGGACAAAACATATTTCTCTTTCCTCTCATCAAATCATTCTTTTTTTTTAAAATATACATATACATACAAAATCAGCCATTGTTATTACTTAGTACAAAAATAGGTTATGCAATTGTAAACCTATAGGAACTGTCATTATTATTCATATATAGAAGTCAACTAGGCAAAACGAAAAAAAAGGAAATCTATTTATCATTTCTTGTTTATTGTAGAAGTCAAACTTAGTCAAGCAAACAAATTCTGTTACTTGTAACTTCCGGTCATCATCACAACTACCGATTGATAATAAAATTAAAAATGAATCATTCGAGCATCACCAAAATATACAACAGGCATCATCATCATCATCATTATTAGAATCGAACAACGAAAAAACTCCGAGTTCTCCATTATTTTCTTCTCATACAACGACAACAATAAGAAATAATTCTTCTTCCACGGCTGCCGATTACCTTACGCCAGACGACGATGAAAGAAAAAAGAATGGTGCGTCTGTTAATGTCGTCAATACTACCAACATTCTTAATATAAAACAACAAAAAGAACAGTTGCAATGCGAGCAAACAAATACATCTAACATTGATTCAAAACAATTTACAAACGTTGAAGAACACAATCGAATCATGAGTACAGACAATGAATCAGATGACGATTTAGAATTATTAAAAACACTTTCTCAGTTACATGATATAGTTAATACTACTCAATCTACGGAAAAAATCAATCGAGTTGAACATCAAATATCATCGGATTCTTCAAGTATAAATCAAGATCAAAATTCTCTTGAGTATTCACATGAAAATATAATTACAAATGGAAATGAAGCAGAATTATTAAATAAGAAAAGTCGACAAAATACTCATATAATACTGCCAACGTCGCCCTATGTCACTGACACTATAAAAAATTCCGACGAAGAACAGGAAGAAAAAGACGAGAAAAAAAACATTATTTTTCATAAAAATCATAATGATGATGATGATGGTGACGATAAGCAAAAGGAAAAATACGAGTATAGAGAAGAAGAAAAAAAAACAACTACGTTTTTTTCTTTAACATCGACGTCTCCTACTTTATTCAATAATGATTCACACTCAACTGTCGTTGTTGTCGACCCTGATACGCCGTCTTTATTGCCCAACTTGTTATTATTATCATCAAACAAACTAAACGACTCCCTCTTACTTTCGAACCAACTAATTACAGACGATTCGCAAATAACTAATACAAAATCAAACATGGATAATTTATCCGATGACGATCGTAATCAACAGAAAACAGCGACAGATCTATTTGATCCATTTTCTCCAACAACTACAAAAACAAAAGCAGAATTTTTTGATAGTATTTTTACTGATTCAAAAGATGATGATGTAAACGAATTCAAAATGCCATCAACTGTTTTACCATCAAATACCATGTCAACACAACCATTAGGAAATTATAGTTTTGATGATTTATGGAACCAATCAATGTCACAAATTGAATCATCAAATAACCCTGAAATTAAATCCGATAACAACTTCGATCAAAATCCATTTTCATGGGATGCTTTTTTAAATAACGATACTAAGAATGAAAAATTAAATCCATTTGATGATGATACCACGGTTCCAACTTCAAATACTATAACATGGGAATCATTATTTGGTGAAGAAAAACAAGAAAAAGAAGATGATGAAAATGATCTTAAAGATTTTCTATATTGGATTATTAGCCATTTAGATGATTCTGAAGAATTTGATATTCAACCTAAAATTACATTTACTTCAACACAAAATCTTGAAAGTATTGTTAAAGAAATTCAAATGTGTTTAATGCCATTTGAACCAATTCCATCACCACCATTACATATTGATCATTCTGTTTCAAATCCAATGATTAATGCAATTCATCATGAATTATTTCCTATTAATGAATTAGAGCAATTAAATGCAACTCAAGAACAACAATCAATGATATTATATGAAGAAGATGAAGATGAAAATGAGAAAGAAAATGATGAAATAGTACCTGTCAATAATGAATTAAATTTAGTTGCTGAAACCTTAGTTTCCAATATTATACAATTAGCACTAGATCAAGTTAATGAATCGTATAATCAAATCGAACATTTTGTTGATCAAATATTAGCACAAGCAGTATTTGACGTGTATAATGAAGATTATAATTTATCAATATTAGAAAACAATGATTTAATACCAATAGAAAATCTTGTTACAATTATTAATTGGCATAATTCAATAAAAACAACAAATAAAAATCTACTTGATTCACTTGATCAAAAAGTTGATAATGTTTCGAATGATCATTTGCAAACACCAAATCATATAACGAATGAAAATTTAGTTGTAAATCAAAATAAGACTGATGTTGATCCATGGTTATTAACAACAATAGAACATAATAATGATTTTGATCCAATAGCATTCTTTTCGAACACTCTTGATGAATCCGATTTATTTTCTTCTACAAGTAATCCGACGAATAAAATTCCGGAATTTGAAGACGATGAAGCGGGAAATCTTAGTGAATATGTACCACCACCAATATTAAGAGATCCTACAAATCCTACTATGGTTGCTAATAATCTGATGAAATATACATTAACAGCACCTGTTTTTGATGATAGCGGTGATGATAGCTCATTTCAAGAAGATTATTTTATGTCACACAAGGTAATTACTTGTTTAAATTATTTTCTTTTTCTCATACTAACTCAAATATGTTTTCATAAAATGATTTTAAGTATATGGGTAAACTGATTAATTACATTGCTATATTGCTTTCAGCTCATTTACATTTTTATATTTGATTTCATATATTGTTTTTCTATACTTGAATAATTTTGATATAATTATACATTTAGAATGAATCATCAGTAGAAACGAATAATAAATTTGATGAAGAACCAGCTAAAACAAAAGATATAACAGTATGTTATTTTATTAGAATAATTACAAATATAGAAAAGAAAAATATAATCTTATTGTTCTAGTCGACAGATGAAAATGAAGTTGAAATCGATGCACATAATAATATCTTTTCACAAAAAGGACATTCGTTACAATTTGAAGCATTTGCTAGTGATCAACCATTGGATTCATCCGATAATGAATTGAAATTTGCTAATATAACTGCTCAATTTAATGAATTTGATGAATCTTCACAATTACAACAATCAACAGATGACAATACACCATGGATAACCATTGATAAAACACCTGAGACTGTTCAAACCAGTAGCATCAGTAAAGATGAACCATGGGAACTTGAAGATAGCGGTGAAGAAAACATTGCACCAGGATTCCCAACAACAACTCCATATTCAGACGCTTTCAATGATAATGAATTCTCCACAACAGAGAAAACTAATTTACCTACTAACTATTTTTCCGATTCATTTAATGCACCAATAACCACTGAAAAACATCCAAGTGATGATAAGGAAAATTATGATGATTATTTTACCAAACAGCAATTAAATGAAAATACGGAGCAATCATTAGCAAAAAGTGCACATTTCGATGATAATCAAAAAAATGTACAAGCTTCAACATCATTAAAAGATAATCTTAATGCATCAGAATCATCAACAACTAGTGATTCAGATATAGTTGAAGTCAATGAAATCGCACCAACTTTTGAAACAATTAGTGATCATATGCAAACAAGTTATGTCAATGTTGATGAAACGGATGTCAAAGTATGTATTTATATTCTCTAATTTTTGTATTCAATTAAAACATTATTCGGTTTTTGTTTTTAGATTGAACTTCCTAATGAATTAATTGAAAGAACACCACATATGGTAACTGTTGAATCAGAAAGTGAAGATTTACCTCCACCATTACCACCATTGCCACCACTAAATAATAAATCAAGTATGTATTTAAAAAAAAATTTTTTTTATCTCAAAGAAATTTTTATTTTTATGTTTTTTTATTAGGTGTTTCAAATAAGAATTTGCCATTGAAATCAGCACTTTTATCATCAAATACAGATACACAATATAAAAAAAATTTACGTTCAGAATCAGAAATAACTCCAACTAATCAAATAACAACTGACACAAAAATTCGTAGTCAAACCGATACACAATCAGTGCATCCATTTGAATCAGGTATTGTAATATTTACAATTTATATTTTGTAGAAAGTATTTGCTGTCGCATATAATGTTGATTATTTGACGATGACGAATATTTATTTGTATAATTTGGAATCATATCATGATAATTTGAATTGAATGGGACTTGTAAATTGATAGTTTTCGATTGTAATAATGTTGTTGGTTGTATAACATTTGCTCGACGTCGTTGTTGTTGGTGTTGTTGTTGTTGTTGTTGTTGTGTTATTGGTGGCATAGCAATAAGAATAGGTAGATTATCTTTTCGTGGTTTAATTAATGGTATTTGACTTTTATTTTTTTTATGTCGTTCATCAATTAATATTTTTAATTCATAAATTTTTTTTCGTATATATTCATCTTTTAAATCACTAACAGTTAATGAACGACAAAGTTGTTCAAGATCAATAATTGGTATTGGTTCTTGTTGATATTGTTTTAATGGAACTTTACTAATAGGTGGTGTTGATTTAGAATCTTTTGTCTGGAAAAAAAGAAAGAAAAACAAAACAGTGAAAATTGATAAAAAGAAAGAGTTTCTTTTTCTTACTGTTATTGGAATCGTTGATGATTTTATAGGTTGATTTGTTTCTTCTTTTGTTTCAAGATAATCAAGATATTCGAAGAGTTTTTTATCTTCATTTATATTTGTTGTTAAAGTTGATGTTTGAATAATTGATGGCAATGGATTCGAAGGAGGAGGCGTTTTAATGACTTGTTCAACTGTTTTTTTTGATGGAATAATATGTTCACTTGTTGGTCGTGTTTTTATTTCATTTTGTTGTTCAATAAACCAATTATTATTTTTATTTAATTTATTAAGATTTTCACATGATGATGTTGGAATTGTTGTTAATGTTTTATTAATCATATCAGCTAATGTTAATTTTGTTGTTGGAGTTTCTGATGCTGATGAATTCATTTCATTAAATATGACACTATCAACTTCATCGTTTTCTTCTTCGTCAAAAATGCTTGAAATTTCATCATCATCATCAACATCGATTTTTTCATTTGTAATCGGGATATCTGATGGTGTCTTTTCAATACGTACATCAATTTGTTTGGATGATGGTGTTGTATCAGGTTGTTTAACTGATATATTAATCATATAAGTTTCTTCAAACATACAACGAGATTTGGCTTTTTTATCATCAGTATTCACACTTGAAATATTGATTATTTCATCTTTGATACATAGTGTTTTATCATTATCTTCTTCACTTTGACAAGTATTCATATGACCTCGTTGTACATCATAAGAACCATGTAAAAAAAATTTAAGTAATTCATCTTCACTACGAACTTTTGTAGTTTCCAGTTTTGATTTTCGACTAGATGGCATAGTCTTATGATAAGATGGTGAGATGGCAAGAGTTTCACTGGCCATTGGATATTACGACAGAATGTATAGCACGTTTGGTCGCAAAAAAAGAATGAATATGAACATCAGAAGTAAACGCGTATATTCGAATGAATACTCATGGTCAATACAAAATCGATTGATAGCTACATCATCATCATCATTATCATCATCGTGTAGATATATATATGTATACGTCAATATGATGAAGCAAAAAAAGCCTTGACCGCTAACTGTTCACTCTCTATCGCTGTTACATAGGTGACACGCATGGGCTATGATTGTATCAATGATGCACATCATATTCTCATCACGAAAAAAAAAAATTAAAGAACAAGAAAATGATTTAGTTTTGAAGGATATATTTTTTTTTTCTTACAAAAAGAAAATAATTGTCTAAAATTGAGCTAACTTAATTTAATGAAAATGGTATTGATTGAGCTGAATAAAATTCGCGAGATTCTTCTATAATAGCTGTGGTTGTAGATGACATTGTTCTCAGTGGTGGTCTAAATAATGGATCACTTTCTACTGGTTCGGATTCAGATGAATCATATCTATTGAAACGATAATGATCATTATTTATTGCTGTTAATGTTGTTCTTTCAACTGATTCATGTTTAATAGGCGTAAAACTTGGTCGTCGTGAATTTTGCTCATTAATCATATCGAATTTTGGTGTAGACGGTGTAGAAACAGACGCAAACAATGCTGTAAATGGAATTGTATTAATAGCATTACGACGAATAACAAGATTCGCAATAGTATTTGATAAAGGTGGTGATGGTGAATCACGTCTTGATAATATTGATTTCATAAATTTGGATGCTGTAATAGTATCATTATCATTATTTGGAATTGATGACGATGATTCAGTTGGTAATTGACTTTTATATTCACCTTGAATAATACGTTGTAGTTCAGCAATCGATACTGGCGTATAAAAAAGAGTAGGACGACCACTTTGATAAACAACTGATGTTGAACGACCACGATCATGTATCTTTTGTCGTCGATAATAAGCTGTTTCAAGACAATGTAATATAATTCGAATTAGACCAATTAATAGCAGACATATAACAATAGGTGATATTCCAATTAAAACAGCATAAAATGCTCGATGAAAACATTGACTCGAACAATATTCCATTGTCGTTTATAGGAAATTAGTACTTAGTCGATAATATTAATTATGAATTATACAAGAATAATTTACTTGCTAAACTTTTCGTTTCTTATTTTTTATTTTTGTTTATAATCGAAATATCAACAATGACTATTGCTATAATTTTGCAAACTTTTGGATTATGCTAACGAAGTGTTGAAAACAAAAGAGAAAAAAAAAAGGCAAAAGAGATAATAATGTAAATAATAACAAAAAACAACAACGGCAAACATATTGGAAACAGAAATAGGATAGAAGCTTAGCGGATAAGTTCCACATCAATAAGGATCTATCTATGATTATAACAGAGGAAGAGAATTACAGTTTAGCATGCGATGTTACCATCGTTTAGGCTGTCTGCTAAACGATGACATACATATTGATGGATGACAAAAAGCTGTAGTTCTGTTCTGCATGATGAATCAAACGACTTGAGGAATAGCTTGTTGATCGGAATCATCTATAGATGGATTTGAAACAACAAGACATTGTTCGGAACATCGTACAATTTCTAATTGTTTTTTTAGTCGCCAATTTGAATAACAACGTGATACTTGAATACATACACTTAAACTAATGTATAATACTATCGCAATAACTAAAGGAGTAAAACCAAGAAGCAAAGTATTTTTTAATGTTGTATTATTGGTATTAGTTTCTGATTGTTCAACTATATTTTTTCTTTCCTAAAAATAGAAAATAAAAGTATTAGTTATCATAGAAATATATCAATATATCTATACTTCAGTAGTGACCATATGGTCTGGTTTGACTAACTTAGAAAAGCTATGATGACAAAATGAGACTCGTGTCTTTTGAATAAGAATTAGAATATATATGTGTGCGTGTCTTTGTCAAGCCAAATAAGCACATCACTCTTCAATCATATAATGAACGATATGATTCTCTTCAAAGGGCATGTCAGTAGAAGGAGCAGATCTCTACTATGCTTTCTTGTTCATCCGCTCATAAACATAAAGTTCTTCTCGTTGTGTGATTGAATATAGAAGATTGAGAAAAGAGGGACCGCCGAACAATCAAGTGGTAGTAACGGGGATCCCGAAAAGAAACAGAGAGAGGAAGAGAAATAAAACCAAGAAAAGAGCAAGAAAATATGTTCTCAATAATTGTTTGTAAGAAGAACGGTCTATTCTGAATAGCGTAAATGAAATTAGTTGATGTGTATGCGCATGCTCAAGATAAACAGAAAAGAAAAAGAAGATTTATATTAAAAAAAAAAAATTTTTTTTTACAGCGGTTACTATTTCAGGAAGCTATGTCTATTGATTTCCGTTTATTCACTTTTCAATATGAGCAAATGTTTGCATAAAAAAAAAAAAAAAAAAAAAAATGAAAATAATATTTGCAACATCCGTCGATCTGATTTAAAAAAAGGAAATAACAAGACGATGTAATCAAAACAATTTTTTTTCTCGTATAGCTCTTCTTCGCTCAATTTCTAAAGATGAAAATGATGTTGACTCAGACGAATTAGATGGTGTCATTTCATGTATGATTGATAATACTCCAGTTAATATTGATGCTAAAACAATTAGTCCATTCAAGAGTGTCATTACTTCAGCAGGCACATTACATGAAGATAATCAAACCATTGTAATTGCTATTTATGGTTGTTGGTTACCTGATCATCGTCTTAGAGAATATCGCTATATTATGGACCAACTTTTTTAGTAAGACATATTTAATTTTTATTTTCATATTATAAATTATATTTATTTATAATATAGTTATGTTTATCATAAATTAGAGAAATTAGTTACAAATGATTATGTTCTAATTTATTTTCATGGAGCAACACCAAAACATCGAACACCTGATTTAAAATTTCTTCGTAAATGTTATCAAATGATTAATTTTCGGTAGAAAATTTTAAGTTTTATATTCATATTTTTTATTATCTTTTGTATTTTGAATTAGACTTCGAAAAAATCTTCGTTCAGTCTATGTTGTACATCCAACACGATGGCTTCGTACTATTATTGCTCTTTCTAGACCATTTTTTAGGTAAAAAAAAAAAGATAAATAATTATTATTTCTATGATTTTTATTGATTTCCTCATTTTTGTTTTTCTCTTTAATTAGTAAAAAATTTTATCATAAAATCAATTATTTATATACAATTGCTGAACTTGAACGACAATTTCCTCGTAATCGTCTTTCAATTCCAGCTACAATAGAACAGTAAGTTGTTGTGTATTGTATATTCCCCATTGAAAATATCAATCAAGTCTTCTCATGGAATTATTTTGATGAGAAAAACACCTGTTTTCTCTTTATCTAGATAACATGCAGTAGTATCTATTTACAACTATCAATAAGGAAAAAGAAAGGTAGCATATTGTTTTTGTAATTAATGTTGGGAAATCAAATTTTGTGTTGTCTTTTTTTATTGTACGACTTATTGGTGATAGGGGTGATGTTTCCTCGTTATTATTTTGTCTTAACTTGCTTTTAGATATGATCGAACTTATCGTGCTCAATAATAAAAAAAATGAATATATAAACTATGGTAGACAAAAAAAGATTAACATATCACTCTTGTCTTTAACTTATTTGTTACAATGAATAACAACTTTCTTAGCTTTTTCTTTTCTTGAATTTTACACTAACCAAGTTGATTATGTTTTATTGAAAGTAAACAGCAATCAATGATTTAAATTTATTAAGAAACCCTTAGAATTTTGCTTTTCTATTGAGATAGTAAAGATGGATAGAAATATACATATATATATGTGTCCTCGATGTTTATTCAGATATGATTCACGGCTTTTGAGAAGCAGATTCTTTCGACTTTTTCGTTGTTTGTAATTTGTAAGTATGTGTTTGAAAGACATTTAAAAACGAAAGAAGAATTTCATGCATGACCATTTTTCCGTATTTAAAATTGAAAATGCTTGTTAACTTTTTTTTTCGTTTGTTGTTTATTGTGTTCATTATAATATGTTGTGTGTTTGCTTTTACTTTCACTTATATTAATTTTTATTCCCCCTATGGAAATTTCAAATATACATACATATATTTAAATTTTATAGAACGGATTGGCTATATTCTCAAAAATATGATCGTCACAATGCAAGCATAAATCGTTCTATTGCACAATCAATATCTCGATCTATGGTTAATAATGAAGATGAATCAGCTGCTTAAAAATATCATTTCTATTCATGATTATTTACGGTTATACCCGGTCTTATTATTATTGTTTTATTTTTCTTCTATGATTTAATTTCTATTCTTGCTCTTATTCTTTTTTTTTTTTGTTGTGCAATAATGTGGTGCTGCGTTTTGTTTTCTTTTTGTCTTTTTCTTGCGTATCGTATCTCTACTTAGTGACAGTTCATATTGTATATGTGCATAGGCAAAACCACTGTTTTTCGCAATTAAAATTGTATGTTATGTTTCAAAAGAAAATAGCAAGACGAAGTGAAAATCAAAACAAACTCGAAAATTAGAAATCAGACAGTGTATTGCCTCTTTTTTTTTCGATATATGTGTGTGTGTGTCTGTGTGCTTTTCTTTTCTCCTCGATATATTTTGAAATACATATATAACTAGTTCGTCACTAATTTCGAATGTCAAACAATGTTTTATTGAACATAAGTATAAATACGTGACTGCCATTAAAACAATAAAATTATGTCTATCGATATAGAAGCTATATAGATGGTCAAATTCTAAGAAGAAACTTCGTCAAATGATTTATCATTTTTGAGACAAGTCTTATCTCAAAATGTATAGCCTGTTGATATTGGATACAATCTAAAATAGTTTGTGCTTATGCATCTTACTTCTTAGATTATAGCCACTCTGGGAAGTTTTTTTAACAAAATGCCTTGTGGCGCTTTACAATCGACTTTTGAGTTCAAACTTTACATAAATAAAATTCTCAATGAGACTTGATCAGTGTGAAAATATCAGACTTTCTAATATCTTTTATGCTGAAATATAAGTATAAGAATAATGTTTGTTTTTACGTAAAACAGAATATTCACTCTTGGTATCTGAGTATAGAAGATACTAACAACTGTTATAGTATCACAATGAATTAATCCTTTTGAAAAGTTGAATTGAGAAAAGTTTGAAGTCAACACTCTATTCTGACGATGATTGGAGAAAGGTCATGATGTTCTGTTGAAAAGCTTATCAAAATAACCATAAATCAAATTGAAAGATCCATGAGCATGAATTCTTCTAAGCACCAACTAGTCTCCATAGAGCTTACTTAATAAGCTAAAACTCATCTCTGTAGCAATTTACTACGGAGCCTAATTCTTTCATTACTTCAAGATATACAAAGCATAAATTAGAGTCTAATGATGAATTATCATTTATATATTTTCATGAAGAATTATTTCCATTACAGTATTCTTTCAATTGTTCCATCAATTCTATAGTTAACAACATCCTATCGTTGTTTTTATACACTATATTGACATCATTAAACAAAAAGTGATCTGCAAACTATCTCAGTCGCTGTCATAATTCTTTTGAGATTTGTGAAATTACTGTAACATCTTAATAATGCACGTGTAAATAAATGATTAATTTTAAAACATTAAAATGAAAATCAACTAAAAAATCGACATATATTGATTTTTCGAATAATCGTATCGTAGCTGAATAGAATATGCAGAAGGAGAACTTTTTTTTTTGTTTATATCATATACATTTACTGCTGTCTTCTACAGCAAACTATTCAAAATACTTCATGACATATGGTTCTATCGATGATAGAAAATATTTATGTATCTATGTGCAGATCTTGCTGTTGTTAATCTCACATTCTGTCATGTTTTTCTATCGATTCTTGATATTGTCCATTCAGGGTTTTGTTATGTTCATAATAGAACTTATTGTTCAGAAAAATGGACGACACATTTCATTTAGAAATGTTGTGTACGGTCAAGGATGAAATTTTTTCATGTTCTTTATGAAAGAAACATTTAATTAAACGGCATTCGAGTTTCATTCCATTGCGAAAGCAATGGGAAGTCACAAATGTCGATTATTAAAAAAATTGATGTCGAAAACAAAACAAAGAATAATCATTTTTATGATTTATCATAAAACAATTTTTTCTAAAAGATGTTTATACTTTAGTAAATCAAGCTCTTATTGTCTTGGTAAATAGAAAAAAATTACCACTTTATCAATCATCTGATTGAAGTATCAAAAGGATTGACAAGTAGACATCAAGAAACTCATCACTACGAAAACAATCAACATCCATTAACATGTTTCTAATGAATGATATCAATTGATCAATTAATTATCTATATGATTTATTCTCTATAATCAGCTGTATTTGCAGCTGCCCTAGCCTTAAGCAAGAAGGGTGGCGGATAAATTTTAATGCTCTATTCATTTAATTATCTTGAAACTTGAACAACAGGAAAGTTCACAAAAAAGAATGAATCATTATGAAACAAAATTGCTCGTACCTTATCTTCCTCATAACATTCAATTTGACCTTACCTGTTTTGTCATTTTGACGGCCAAAAGTTTTTAATTGATAAAATCAGACTTTTAATGCATTCTGTACTGCATATCAAACGTTTGAGCTAATCGAGACTTATTCGTGTGTTATATCCTGAGAAATATTTTGTTATAGAAGGTGTAGCGGTGATTGTAGATGGGTGTGCGTGTTAATGAAGAAAATATCTACACTCGAACCAGAAAAAGTAAGTTTCATCTTGATACTTCGGAAATATATTGGGAAAACGTTTTTTGTTCAAAACTAAATCAACAGTTTTTTCGTTTTCTATTTTTTCCTACAATATAATCATAAACAATATGCACTCATATGAATAAGAAATATACCGCATGTGTTGTATTTTATGACACAAGGTACTCATTGCAACACATTTCTTCTGGCGAACTTGTGGTATATAATAAAAATGCGGTCCGAATTTATTCTCTCAGCACGACCGTTTTTTCTTTGTGTTGAAAAGTCAAATAATTACCATTTTTCCAGTTTAATTTAAACTATTAGTACCTAATTTTGTAGTACAAGACGGTAACATTCTAAGATACAACTACCTTCAGTCGATTTGATCCCGATTAGACTATTTCGAGACGATCCAATCTTGGTCATTGATCGATCTTTCAATATGTTCTCGATTAAAGACTAACCAAGAAATAGTCAAGAGAAAGAGATGTACGAAAATGCATAAGTTCTTTATGTTTCATTATCTTGATTATGCGTATGTCACTGTATGTCTGGCAATCCAGTCCGCTTCTTTTCATCTATTTTTTCAAGTCCTTTTTTGGCCTCCTTTTTACGGAAAACAGTCAACATTGTTGCTTGATTTTGATGAATCAATATGTTTTGAAGCAATAAGATCAATGAAAAGATTGAAAAATTTCCTTACATACACACGATAGAAACCAGAAAAGAATTTATTCCAATCCGGAATAGTATTAATATCTTTTTGGCTCTGAATTCGATGTGATCAACAGAGATTGATATTATTTAGAGCTGACATTGACACATCTCATGGAAAAAAAATCATAAAAAGGAACGAGTAAGAACGCGTTCTCGAAAAAATACAACGCATTTTATTGATTAAGAACCCATTCTTTACAAAATTGAAGCATTCAAAGGCTTTTTTATATCATGACGAATACGTTTATAGTAAACGAGTTTCATGTCCAGAGTATCGCTTTCTCAATACAAATGTTTTTGTTTGTTCAAGAATCATTCGTTCTTGTAGTTGTAAAACTTAAACATTATTCGATTGATAGTTGTCTTTATCGACCAAAGTACGAAAACTATCATGATATCACTTTTGCGTTAATTGATAGATGTAATGTTTTGCACGTTTCATATGTTCTGAAGACTTCATGAACGTGTTTTAGTGTCATTTAAGGAACATTTTAGTTATGACAAGAATGATCTAATTCTCCTTGATCGAAAATGGTCACCAGTAGTAAATAAGACTTTTCAGCAGTATATTGCAGAATCTTACACCTATCAACTAACGTAAAAGTGATATCCGGACAGGTTTCCGACTTTGATCGATAAAGACAATGACCAATCGAATAGTGTTAATTAAAAAGTATCGAATGATTCAATTTCGTTCGAATCAGTTCATTGTATCAGCTAGAAAAAAGTAATATTGAAAGACATTCTTAACGAAGAATGAAACATGCAGCTAAAAACTGTTCGATAAAAGAGTTATTTTAGGAAATTATTCATCTTTACCCATTCATTTCACGGATGTTTTGGAAAATGCTGAATATTGTTTACATCAGTAAAAGCTATAATATTTTGTAGGGAATCAAAAGACAAATCATCTAAAACGAAACAAAGTCTGAACATATGAATATCAAACTCCATATCATTAAGATATGAAGAGACCCATTTTTTCTGAAACACCCGTTATATACACTTCCGTATGCCTCTGTTATACTTTGAGCAATACAACAGTCCATCACTCATTGATAGAGCCAGGAATTCGTGAGGCAAAGCGAACCAGTGTAGCTGGCCATTTCTGGATAGAACTACCTTGAACAGAATCAGCGCTTACAAGGGAACATTCCCAGGTGAAGGAGTGCTTTTCAGCTGGGGTTTCACGCATCTTGTAGCCCATAGTGAGCTATGTCTGTGGTAAAAAAAGTTCGGGTTTCTGGCTTGTTTCTGAGGAGATATCGAGCTTCCAGTGAATTTTCTCTATAGTACGCCCACANTCGTTAGACGGATTTTTTTAGAAAACAAAAAGGTTTGTAACGATAATATATTGGCAACGAACGATATTATACCCAATACACAAAGTACAATTGCTTCATCGTATGGATTATAATCTTTACTATTTTCTTTCGATATACCATAGATCCAAAGATTTCTTGAGTAGTTTTCAATCTCACATCGATTACCTGTAAAACATTTGTTACATAAACAATATGGTGTTGCAGTAGAGTTTGTTAAAAGAAAGCATTCGCCATTATTTTGACAAACATTTATTGAACATGGCATGGTTAAATTATTGTTTGTATAAAGGTTCTTGTTCACTGAATTACATACATAATATAAGATATATATGCCGTGCCGAAGTTCAACTTCAGCAATAAAATTTTGTCGATGTCATTTTGCTACATTTAATTAACTATCTTTCGTCAATAAGAAAGTATCATCATGTCGAAGTATG